AAGGGTCCATGTTTCATTTATTCTGGGAAAATCCAGAGTGACTCCACTCAAACAGATCACTATTCCCAGATTGGAGCTTACTGGAGCAACACTTGCAGTAAAGGTGGACAGGATGTTGAAAAGGGAGCTTAAAGTGGACCTCAACGACTCAACCTTCTGGACAGATAGCACCTCTGTCCTCGGATACATCAGCAACCAGACTAAACGATATCACACATTTGTGGCAAACAGAGTTTCAGTGATCAAGGACCTGTCTCAGGAGAAGCAGTGGAGGCATGTGAGCTCCATAGACAACCCTGCCGACGACACATACCGTGGGCTGCATGTAGAAGACTTTCTAAAGACATCAAGGTGGATAACAGGACCTAAGTATCTGGAAAAGGAATATTGGCCAAAAACACCTAAGAACCTGGGCCTTATTCCATCAGAGGACTGTTACAGCCGCTGCTACCTTGTGCCCTTAACTCTGTTTGTGGGTGGATGCAAATGAGCTGGGCAGTTCCTATGCTGTCAGTGGCCGTCTCGACCTCGCAACATCCGCGGGGATTGGACAGACGTCACCCAAGCCCTGCCCGCTTCTGCCACGTCATCCGGGGGAGGAGTATAAAGGCTGGGCACGGATACCATTCGGGAGGCTCTGTATTGTGTGACAGACGCCTCAACCCTCGCATTGTGACATTGCCTTCGTTCTGTGACTTCTGAGACTGTTTAGCCGTGTGCATTTTGTGTTAGCTACACTGATTAGCAGTGTATTCAGTAGGGTTTCTGGGCGAGCACACTGATTAGCAGCGTGTCGTCGGGTTCTGTGTTAGTATAGGGTTTGTGTGTGTATATTGCTTAGATCCAGGTTGATTAGCACCTGTAGACCAGCATTCCTGTGTGTATATTGCTTAGATCCAGGTGATTAGCACCTGTAGACCAGCATTCCTGTGGGTATATTGCGTAGATCCAGGTGATTAGCACCTGTAGACCCGCACCAGCTGTGTTTTCCCACAGTCCCGTTTTGTTATTGTTTTGTTTCCACTTTAGAAGTGAGGTATTTCCTTTCCTTTTGTATAGTACTGGGCAACTCTCTTTTGGAGACCCTGTTGTGAGATAGTGACAGATTGACCCGTTGTTGGGCCAAGCTGTTTGTGTACATCATTTACTCAGTTGCCATTACAAATAAAACCACCGGTAACATATACCAAATCCAATCTGGTCGTGTCGTTTCCCTTTTGTACCCCTAGCCAAGCGGGAACGTAACAAGGACCCAGAGGTTAGAAAGGACGTAACAGTTTGAGTGTCCACGAAACCAACCCAACCAGCAAACTGTTTGAGTATTACTCATCATGGAGCAGACTGCAGAGAGGGGTTGCTTGGATACTTAAATTAAGGGGAATTCTTCTTCTGCTAAATCAGCAAAAGCTGACCTTGCCCCAGATCGGACTCTTTTGAAATCCTTAAAGGACAAAATGAACAAGCTAAAGTTGACATTTGGATCACAACATCTGTCTGTGGAGGACATTAGAGAAGCTGAAAGGTCAATAATTCACTCTGAGCAAAGACGTCACAGGAACTTGCACTTTTGGAGAAGGGAAGGCAAGTAAGAGCAAGCAGCTCTATCAGGAAGCTGGACCCAATCTTAGTTGAAGGCATGCTAAGAGTGGGAGGACGAATTAGCAAATCCGCAATGCCAATGGATCTGAAGAACCCCATTATCCTGCCCAGAGACTCTACTGTATCCAAACTGATCTTGGGCCACATCCATCAGCAGATTGGACACTCGGGGAGAAGCCACATGCTCTCAAGACTAAATCAAAGATTCTGGTTGCCTCGTGCTAACTCGGCAGCCAGAAAGATAATCAGAGCCTGTGTTTTCTGCCAAAGAATGCTAGCCACAGTTGGAGAGCAGAAAATGGCTGACCTCCCAGAGGATCGGGTGTCTCCAGATCTACCACCCTTTACTCATGTTGGTATCGACTTCTTTGGACCCCTGGAGGTTAAACGAGGCAGAGCAAATGTAAAACGTTGGGGAGTGATCTTCACCTGCCTTGTGAGTCGTGCCATACATCCAGACGTTTCGAGCTCATTGGACACTGACTCCTGCATCAATGCTTTGCGCAGATTCATATGTCGCAGAGGGCAGGTGACAAGCATCAGGACCGACAACGGCACAAACTTTGTGGGAGCACAGAAAGAGCTAAGAGCTGCTCTTAAAGACCTGAATCAACACAAGATTCAAAATGCATTACTCTGGGACGGAGTAAAATGGACTTTTAATCCGCCACATGGAGCCCACCATGGTGGAGTTTGGGAGAGGCTCATCAGACCTGTAAAAAAGATTCTGTGTTCCGTCCTAAAAGAACAGAGATTGGATGATGAGACTCTACAGACAGCTTTGTGCGAAGTTGAGAGCATCATGAATGACAGACCATTGACTACAGTTTCAAGTGACCCAAACGATCTCGAACCCCTCACGCCAAATCACCTCCTTCTGCTAAAGACAAAACCGATTATGCCACCTGGACTCTTTCACAAGGAGGACTTGTACTCACGGAGGAGATGGAGACAGGCACAATACCTCGCAGATCTCTTCTGGAGGAGATGGATGAGAGAATATCTCCCAATCATGCAACAGCGAGTCAAATGGCACAACCCCAAACGGAACCTTCGCCCCAATGATCTCGTCGTCATCGTGGATAACACTGCACCAAGAAATTCCTGGCAACTGGGCCGGGTGATAAAGACACTGTCGGGGTCGAAAGGGCTTGTCCGAAGTGTCTTGGTGAAAACCAAGGGTAGCACCTTACAGCGATCAATTGACAAGCTCTGTCTGCTTCTGGAAGCAGTTGATTGAACACAAGGTGTCATGTGCTAGTAACCTCTGACACCCAGTATCACACACACACATGCCAAGCCGACATTTTATTTCCTCGCATTAGCATTATTAGCATTAGCCCAGCGCACCAACGGAGAGAGACTAACTTATGGCAACATAAAATAAAACGTGGGATCGGTGGAGTGATGAGGAGGTGTCGGCGCTTCTGGCGATTTACCCGGGGCTTCGGGGGACTTCGGGTGGCAGTATACGCCGTGAAGTTGTTTGCGGCCTGCCAGTAAACCCAAAGCAGAAGAAGAAGTGACGTCAGCAGCTTCATTTGCCTAATCCTCCCTCAGGGACTTATTCTGGTGTGAACGCGATTTACTAGGACAGTTACAGGACTAAAGAGTTTGGCGGGACTAAGTACTGGGAACTAAGTACGGCAAAGTACTTGGTGTGAAAGCGGCTCTTGACTTCCAATAGATGGTGATGGGGGAGGTGAAGGATGGGTGTGTTAAAGAGCATTATCTTGTCAAGTCAAACTTTTTCAACTTCTGCAGGAAGTACACCCTCTGCCTTGGGTCCGCTCTAAGCATATGTATTCCCCCCAGAGAGGTGATGAGGGTGTTCTCACTTCTTAGATGTCCTCACAACAGCCTGCAGGAATCAGGTGCACAGCTGATTGGAGTGTCACACTGATCCTCTGATAGCTGTCTGTATTTCAGGAGCTCATGGCTGAACTAGGAATTAGGATTTTATAAAAGGTAAAAAGCTCAAACTGCAGCTTTAGTGTGGTCTGCAAAGGTTCTCAAGTATGGAATTAGATTGATATAATTATATAAAGGTCTTTGTCTGTCTTTAAAAAGTGCTTAAAGCAACACTTGTTAAGCAAATATGTCAGAGAGATTCTTCCCTCTGAAATGCATTATTTATATGTACCATCATTTCCCCATATAAGGTGTCTCTGTTTCCATATTTTACCTGAACTTTTTAAACAAAAGTTTAGACTGATGAAATAAATATTTTGGTAACACTTTATTTTTGATAGTCCATATTTAACACTCTATAAGTCATCAGTTGACATTTAGTAGCATGTCAACAGCGTATTAACCAATATTCAACCTTACTATCTGTATATTGTGTCAACATCTTCAAAATTGACTATCAACTACTCAAAATCAATCTGTCAGTTGAAAGTCAACAGGGTCATGTTGACTATCTGTTGATAATCTGTTGAGAGTCAAGATGTCAACTAAAGATTACATTAAGCATTAGTTGGTGATCAACAGATAAGCAACTTTAGAGTTTAGTTGACTATCTGTTGATCGTCAACTAATCTAGAGTTGACTATCAGTATACTTTTAGTAGGCATTCTCCACTAAGCGTTTGTAGGCATGTGTTAGGACTATCCAATTAAAGTGAAACACAGTTGAGAACAGTAGAAAGTCTATAACCTAACAGAACACATTCATCCACTAATGATATGCAACAGACATGGGAATAAAGCGAAATGTTTTGCAAAACTGATCACAAACTTTATTTATTCATTATGTATGTAATGTTTGAGTTAGAAACACCTGTTCCTGTTTTATTTGACTAATATATAAGATAAATACAGAAGCCACTTGAGAAAAAAAGTGTTTTCACAAGAACTCACAATCTACAGATAGTAAGGTTGAATATCGGTTAATAACCTGTTGCAAAAAACATGTTGACAGTCAGACACTTTTTGTAAAATCTATAGATCAACACTTGAGATGTACCTTATATTCTACTGGCAGTTAGTTAAATGCATGTTACTTGTCTGTTGAAACAGTGTTGTTGAATGTCAACTGATGACTTGTAGAGTGTTAACTATGGACTATCAAAATAAAGTGTTACCAATATGTTAGACCATTAAGTAGTTTAGAGTAGTTTGAGGATTTTTGGTTAGTGTATGTCTTTGGATTGTAATGTTTTGGATTAATACATGATCTCTCTCAAGTCCTAGTAATGATACATTATGTAAAGGGTAATACGTTATGATTACTGTCTGGACCCCTATTCTCAAGCTCCCTATAGCTTATTGGGGTGTCCCATTGCACATGTCTCCATTATGCCTTATGATTGTGCTTGTTTTTTTATTTTAACTTGATGATGATGATGATGATCCTTAATGACTAAATACATCCATAATGTGTAATAATCAGAGGCAAGAAATGTTGACAATTGTTTATTTTGCACTGTCAATTAAGCATTAGGAATGAATAATGATGTTATCAAGTTAGAAACAAAAGTGAGGGAATGAGAGTGCTAACCGAGTAGTAAAAAAAGTACATTATTTGTGAATTTAAAAGATTAGTAACAGGATGTGCTTTGCTGTAAAAAAAATGTAGGCGGCTATCGATGTTTTTTGTACAAAAGACCAACCAAATAGAGATGGTTACCATAGAAGAAGAAAGCCTGGGTTAATTTGAAATGCATCGTTGCCTGTAGGGAGGGACGGCCCTGCACACACACTCATCAGAGCTCCGTCAGGCTCTTCTCACAGATCCACTGTAGTCTGACGATGCAGTTGACGTCGTTCAGGCCGAGGAACTGAGTCATGGTGCGAAGGTCACCGCAGTCTTCTCCTCCCAACGAGTCATCAGGCTGCCCAGGGGCCCACAGCAAGCTACACACACACACACACACACACACACACACACACACACACACACACACACACACACACACACACACACACACACACACACACATATATATGACACCAGCAGCAGATTGACTAACATGGATGTTTTTTCAATAAATGAAGGTAAATGCCAACATTGAATCAGTCACACACACACTTACACACTGATGAGAGGACTGCCACACATGATGCCAAACTGTTCAAGAGCTAATACGTGAGACACACACACACCTCTGTCTGTTCACCGGGGTCCCGTCCACCCAGACCCAGGTTCCCTCCCTCTCTCTGTCCGTCATCCCGACCCAGGCTGCTGGGCTGAATCCAGTGAGGAAGGCCTGTGAGAGCAACAACTGGTCACCATGGAGCTACAGTATCACACACTGTTTATATACACCACTCTCATCTCACAGAGCATTTCATTAGAGGCTTCATTTTCATTAGCTCAGGCTAGTCCTTTAAAGATACTAATATTTCTTCTGACTTCTAAAGGTTGTTTATTTGTTATTTCTTCTTTTTTTCAACTGTAGTCTTGTTGTATCCTTGTGTCGTGTTCGGGTCAAATCTGAGTGATTTCATGCTTTCATCAATCATAAATATTGTGTTTAACATTTGATTGCTTCAAGGAATTTTGAGTGGTTTATTCAACTTTGTCACACCTTTGGTGTTCCCGGTCAAAAATGATCTCCATAGGAAATGAATGGGTAACCCAGATACACACACATCGATAAAATGTTGATTTTGCTTGATACATTTTCAATGTCTATTCTCCGTATATTCACTGCAGCAGGGGCGGATCTAGACAAATATTCATGGGGTGGCAAGAGGGTGGCAGGAGAATTTGAGGGCTGGCATCCCCTGGCAGAAGTATATGCTGATTTAATCGCAGTCATATCAATCAATGTTAACTTGGAAAGCCACAATATTAATATTTTAACTCAATAACATTAGGTGACATTATTGTGGCACATCAGTAAAGCCATAAATATAACTATATAAGGTGGCAGACGTAATTTAATGAATTTTAACTGAATGAGTTTGTCTCACTCTTAGACCAGCAGGGGTACAACATCTATGCAGACAGCTGCAATAAGTACATTAATTAACTGTCTCATCGATGTTTGTCTGAATGAATATGATACTATTAACAATCATATTATTCCTATCAGCTGTCAATCACTGTTATGATTCACATATTCAGTGTTATTATTAAATAAACTATATTTGTTGGAGGAGTTAATGATGAATGTTCCTCAAGATGCTTGCTCACCCTCCTTCAAATTTGAAAGACAAGTAATAATTACTATCATATATCAAAAGAATCAAAGGAACAGTTCAGCGCCCCACAACTTCATTACAAACAGTTACAACCTGGACTTTACATCAGAAAGAACAAACATTAAAGAAGTGACTAACTGCATCAGTTAGGGTTAAAAAACGTGTATTCAGCTAAAACATCGCTGCAGTTATTATCCAGTGGAAGGTCCTTACCTACTGGCCTAGTTAAATCAAAGTGGTTACTTTCTGTTGGCTGGGCAGTGAAGTTTTACACACCGTCTTATTTGACTTTCTCAGGACTTGAAACTGTTTTTTGGGGGCAGACCCCCACAAAGAAAAAAAAAATTATACACACGTAAGGTCATCATCTTAACAGTTTATTATTCTCATTGACTCAACCGTGAGCAGAGCATCAAGTTGGCATGCCTATAACAGCTGAATGTGGCGATTACCATCTTGATCAGCAAAACGCCTCACAAACGATTTAAAGCTATGGTGCGTTTTGATTCAATGCTGAGTACAGCCAAACTTGACAGGCTCTTCTCTGTCATTGTAGACCGCAAACGGTGGCGGCGCCAGAGTGTTTTTGTTGGGTAATCTATGGTAGGGCTAACCCATACAGTGGTGGGGCTCAAGTCAGTATTTGCAATGTAATTACATACACGCTCCCCTTGACAGTGAAACGCCACGCGTGAGGTTTAGATTATTTCCCTGTCTCAATCCAAATTGAACTGTATGAAATAAAAAGGCACATGGCTGGAGCCAATCCTGCAATTTACCCACAGGTGAAAGAGTTGACATGCAGGAGATTTTTTGAAATACTAACATAAAATACACATTCTGGTACTCTCTTGAGAAGAAAAATGAATACATCTATTACTCCACGACATATTTAAAAAAATGAATGCCATTTTAGTTTTTTGTTACTTTGTTCTGAAAGCTGAACCTGCTGCTCCTCACAGAGAGAAGAGGGAGAGGCTGTGAATGACTTTACATTGTGGATAAGGGTGGATAGCCCCCATTGTTCTGTGTGTCAAAATGAAAGACAGCCCACACACCTATCAATCATCAAACCGTGGGGTCTTATTTCATTACGTGTTGATTTATATCAACACGTAATGTTGTATCGATGTATAGCTGTACTACCGCAAAAATATTCTCCGTCGGGACTTCCTGCAACAACACCACGCCGTTATCTTGATTCTGATTGGTCAGAAGACATTATCAAAGATGTTCTATTGATAAGACGATCACTACGTGACAAAGGTTTTCAAAACCGTTTCTGGTCTTCGGTATTTCCCGACAAGTGGTTACTGAAATCAATCTGACTAACTGCTGTCTGTGCAATTTACTCCGCGCGAGTTGGCGGACTTTATTTGGCTTACTTTAACGTCATTGTTCATGGTGGGGCTAAGGTGGGGCATTTATTGGTATGGCTGTAGCCTACCCCAGCCATACCCTGACCGCAAATACCTAATTCCTTCCGTCTACTTGGATCCGAAATGCTTCTCGTTTTGCGCTGTCCCCCGTTCAAAGGAAATCGCCACCAATCATATTTCCAAGCTCGCGCCAGGGGGGGAGGGGTTACAAGGCTCCCGTCTTGTGCTGCATTCACTTGCACTCGGACATTAGAGATTTTCTCTCATAAATGTCCGATGAGCCACAACTTTTCTTTCAAAACAAAGCTGCCAACTGGGGTGGCAAAGCATTTTTCTGAGGTGGCAGCTGCCACCCTGTATCACCCCGTAAAACCGCCACTGCACTGCAGTGATTAATGTAAACCAGTAGTATGGGAGATTGTTTACAGCTTAAAGTGAGTTTAATAAAATGTGGTGATGATGAATGGTTTTCGTGTTAACCCTCTGGAGTCTAAGGGTATTTTCTCGATTTTTAGACGTTTTCTTAAATCACCTTTTAAATGTATTTCTTCTAACATGGCACCCATGTGTTACATATCAAAATGTTCAGGACAATCTCTAGTATTGCTATATATGCAAATTACTCACCTTAGAGCACTGTTTGATGAGATAAGTAGCTCAAAAGCTTAACATTTGACATCCGATTTTCGGAAAATCTTCAAAACTCTTGTGAAAACACAAATTTACTCATGTGATCGAATTGTTTTGGTGTTTTAGATTTGGTTACCAAAGTCTTAGGATTACAAAAGTAGTGAAATATTTGAATTACACTGTATATAAATGTGTTATTCATGTCTAAAATGAAATTTTATAAATTCGAATTCTGAGTAAAACAGCTGTCAATCACTCTACTTTCACCACAGCAGGGACTGAGATATATCAGGACTGAATAATGACTTCATAATACATGGCAAGGTTCATGTGATGTGTATAAAAAAAAGAATTGAGCATTAGAACTTTTTTTTTCAACCAACAATTTATTATAATACCAACAATGTATATAAATATAACTGCAAAATCTCACTATTTACAATATTGAACATCAGAACTTTTTTTCCTTCAACCAACTATTCATTATACACTGACAAAATGATCCTTCCTCCAGTAGTCCAATACATTGTCCAGTTTCAGCAGCCCCATGTATTTATAGAAATCCTCTACAGTCAAGTCAGTCCATTTGTAGGTTTTACCCTTTCCCATCTCCTGTGCAGCCCGCTTGTTTGTGTTGGTACAGAGTGTCTGTACTGTTAGTGCACTGAAGAACAGCTTGAACAGGTCAAGGGGTTTGTTTGATACTGTTGAACTGAGCTGTGGCCCGGGTGTGCGAGCAGGTTGAAACCTGGAGACAGGGGGAGCAGTGTCAGGGTCTTCGCCTGTCTTCCAAGACAGTGGAGCTGGCTGCTGTGCAGGTGGGGGTGATGGTGCATGGGCAGCTGGTGGCTGTGTGGGAAGTACGTGTGCTCTACGAGACCTCTTTGCTGTCCGGGTTGATGGTGATGGCTGTGGCTGTGGTGGAGCTGAGGTGTATCTTGACCTCGTCGCAGGCAGAGATGGAGGCAGCTGTCGTGATGCTGGTCCGCTAGTCCTTGGTGGGGATGGCAGTGGTGAAGGCCCTTGATCCACGGTAGATCTCAACATGGTGGCAGGCACAGCTGGAGAATTGTGGGACAATAATTATCTCACACACACACACACACACACACACACAACTCCCCATTACTACATAGCACTCCCCACAAATGGCAGGCACACATATAGATTTGTCCCGTTGTGGGACAAATAAAGGATTATCTCATGCATCTACACATGTAATCTTACTTATACACACCAAAATAACGTTTACACATAAATAAAGTTTACACAGAGTAAACGTTTACTAATCAAGAGTCTATTTTGTCCAAAGATAAAATTCATGACGAAAAAAATAAATGGCTGATGAATCTATTGTTCATTTTCGTGCTCCTCCCCACAAAATGGCAAATGCACATGTAAATAAGTATATGACAGTCTCATCTGTACAGAACAGTATGATCAAATAAAATACATGTCTATAAATGTCTCCGTTGTGGGACGAATAAAGGATTCTTTGTATTCATCTACACATGCACACATACACATATGTAACCTTACTTATACATGCCAAAATAACGTTTACACATAAATAACATTTACACAGAGTAAACGTTTACTAATCAAGAGTCTATTTTGTCCCGAGAAAGAGTTCATGAGGGGAAAATAAAAAGGTTGATAAATCCATTGTTCATTTTCGCGGTACTCCTCACAAAATGGCAAATGCACTACAAGTTATATTTACACTTACCCATCCTCAAATGGATCCCTGCTGTCCCTGTATTCTTCTTCTTCAGAAGAGTCGAAGCCTTCAGGTTCTGATGAGCCATCTTCGTCACTGCCGCTCGCGAAAATAAAATCCAGCGCGTCCGCAACGGTAAAGTTCCTTCGAGCCATTTTCTCTATCTTCTTCACAGACTAAAAGACTGAAACTGATGGGAGACACCTGTTATATGTTGTTTTATTGGTGGGTAGGTCCTTAGATTTCTCGAGTGTCCATTGGTCGTTTCAGACCGACGGCTGCCGGCCGGCCGAGATGTCCTTGACTGACACACAAATCCACCAATCACAGTGTAATCAAGCTGCTTTGAGCGGCAATATTGGCTACTGTGCCCTGGGTACAATCTCACAGGAGATACTCTTGAAAAGCTACGATTCTAGCGATTCCGCAGATATCTGAATCATATTTCTACTCCTTACAAGCGAAAATCTATGATTAAATACGTAAATAAATGTGCACTTGGCACCACCGGCTCCAGAGGGTTAATGTAAAAGCAGTCAAAACACACCGGTCACATTTGACCAGGAACACCAAAGTAAGGGGAGAGAGACGAACATGACAGGGGGGTTAAGATGGCTCCTCAAAAGAAAAGAGAAAGACTCTGCAGCTCATGCAGAGGAACATGAGGCACCTGCTCCTGCCGGCTGTCGATGATCACCAGGTCAGCTCCTCTCTTCTCACAGTCCCTCCGCCCGTCATCCCAGCTCCTCCTCTGGGTGGAGAAGAAGTAACAGCTGGAGCCGAACATCAGCCAGCCCTCAGGACAGCTGATCTGCTCACCTCCACACACACACACACACACACACACACACACACACACACACACACACACACACACACACACACACACACACACACACACACACACACACACACACACACACACACACACACACACACACACACACACACACACACACACACACACACACACACACACACACACACACACACACACACACACACACACACACACACACACACACACACACACACACACACACACACACACACACACACACACACACGTATGTCATTTTTTTTAAACCAACAGGCTTTTTCAAAGATGTTTCTTATTGTTTCTCAGCTCAGTGATGGAAGAAGTATTCTGATGTGTCATTTGATTCAAAGTACTAATACATTTTTGTCAACATACTTCATTACAAGTAAAAGTCCTGCATTCAAAATCTTACTCAAGTAAAATTAAAATATACTTAAAGTATAAAAAGTAAAAGTAATCATTGTGCAAAATGTTTACCCAATGTGTGTATTAGCATATTTATATATGTGACATTTCTAGATAGTATTGTTGCATCAAGCTGCATTTTAATGTTTTAGGCAAACAGATCCTGTTTTTGTAAAATATTTAAATAATTATTTTATAAATGGACGTAGGGTCCGTGACGTCACCCATAGGATTCTGCAGAGTTGCCGTGAAGCCCTTAGTAGGCGGAGTCCGCCACTAACGGCTCGACAGTGACGCCAGAGTTCAACTCCCGCCTTCTCCAGCCTGCTCCAAATAAGGGCAAAGAGGCGGAGCCGAGGCGGGACCTGCTGCCACCGAGTTGGAAGTTCCAGAGCTAGCTGAAGCTACCAAGCTAAGCTAACATGCTCCCCATCTGCACGCTGCCGTCGCATTTTACGTTTCTAAGGTAAACGGACATGAAACTATTCAGCAAAACTATAAATAATAATCTAAGTTATTGAGCTTTTAGCATAATACTTCAGAATCTTAAAACCCCTTAACGTTTGTATGCAATTGTGCTAAATTCAACACTGGAATCAAGCAAATATTAATATGTTTGCATGACATTAGTTATTTATATTTTGATATCACTTAACTATACGTTTAATACATTTAAGTCAAGCTAAGGTACATGTGATGGTAGCTAGTTAGCGCTCTTACCTGTGAGGCCTCCTCCAAACAGCATAATAACCAGACTGTATCATTAAAACTAAGTACCAGTTATAGATCCTTGACTTTAGACAAACAATTAAAAAGACAAAATGTATTTAAAGACCAATCTTTATTTGAAGGTGCCTCTTAACCTGAGATATTAGTTATACAGTAATAGTATTGACAATCTAAAAAAACTGAGCAACTCAACAGTCAACTTTATGTTTCTTATTGTCTAAAGCATTTATTATTTTCATTTTCCCAATCTCATATTCAGTGTGGACGGATTGAGACAGCATGGTGTCCAGAGAGCTGCAGAGACTTCAGGGAGAAACTTCCGTGTGATGGACGTCCTGTCTGTTGGTTTGGAGAGGACTGAGGGTCTTTCCTCTGCGAGGAGGACCAGGCCTGATGGAGGAGCCCATGCTGGGCAAAGCTGATACCAACTGCACAGGCCTAGTCGGTCACTTTATTTGACTAAATGTGTTTACTTATACATTTAATAGGTTTACACCTTCTGTCCATATGTGCTTTTTATTTAAAACATTTGATTAACTTTTGGTTCACATTTCAATAAATTGTATTTGTATTTGCACTCCTTTTGTCCATTATTCTTACTGAAAATGTTAGATTACACATTCACATCTGACTGAAGATTGGCCCCATTTATTTGTGACTTTGCAAAACAAGGTACATGTTGTGAAGCTCATAAAGTGAGGCAAATAGAAATAATCAGCTGATGGAGTGTAGATGTGGAAATAGCTGCATTCGATCAGCTGACTGTTTTTACAATAAAAGTAGTTTCTTAGTGAATGTCCTGTACTGGTCTTAAAATCTCATAACATCAGCTATTAATGTTCCTCTTGGATGTTCTTCTTGACCCTCAGAGAAGGAGAAAATGTCCTGTCTTTCAGGCATGTCCTTTCCTAACAAAAATGACAGGAAACATAAAACATATTATTGCAGAACAAGTGTATTATTTATGAAAGCGGTGTGTTTGTGTGTTTAGGGGCTGTAGATATAATTATTTTGTAATTGTAATGTTTTTTTTTAATTTCAACAATGATCTACAAAGACAATCAGATTATGAATGAACAGTATGAAGTTCATCAACATTGAAATATATGTTATTATCAAAATAATATTGAACTGTTATCAAAACGTAGTGCAACTGGAGAAGCTTGCTCTGTTGTCTCACTGAAAGAATAACTTTTACCATGTTTTTTACAGACAATATTGAGAGATAAATAGTAGCAGTTCTCACTATGTGTTAAATATCTTTGCCTTCAATACATTAAATTAGAAAGCTGACAAAGTCATATTGCTTGTTATCATCTAAATGTAACTTTTTGCATGGAAAAACCCCTCAACTTAACTGATGTGTAGGTGATCTAGTATTGTTTAATGGAATGTATATCAGTGTATTCAAGTCAATACTTCATTCATTTAAACCAATATCTTTCTTGATTCTTTGTACAGTATGAAAAAAGAGTCTTTGTACCTGTGCTGAAGTTCACTGCTGTGAGGAGTCCAGTTCTGTCTCTCACTCTCTGGTCCAGCCTGTCTGCATCACCTGGACACCTTAAACAAACAAACAGATATATATATATTAGGGCCGGGACTTTAACGCGTTAATTAAGATTAATTAATTACACAACAATTAACGCGTTAAAAAAATTAACGCATTTTAATCGCACTTATTTTTGCACCGCGGAACGTTTCTCACTGGATGAGTTTCAGGCGTACCGATTATACTGGAGCACCAACTAACGTTCATGACTTCAGACAACAACAAACCACAGTGAACAACAGTGGGAAATGTTGTTTTAAAAAACGGACGGATGGAAGCGTCGATAAGAGCACGGTTGTGTGCAAATTATGCAAAAAGGAATTCGCATATCACCGCAGCACATCAAGCCTCAAGTATCACCTCAATGCAAAACATATAGCAGCTAGCGTGGAAGCTAGCGTGGACGTTAGCCTCTTTTATCGCGTTCACACCAAAAAGAGCCGGTACTAAAATGAGTTCATGAGAACCTTTTTACCCCCACGAAAGTCCCTGCTAGAGAGCAGAGAGCTGCTAGAGAGCAGGGACTTTCGTACGGCTCTCTTGTGAGAAAAGAGCTATATTTCTGATTGGCTGGGCGGATTGCAAACCACGCCCCGTAAAACTCCCAAAAAGTTTTGTGAAGCCGCCATTTTATTATCCTCGCATTAGCATTATTAGCATTAGCCCAGCGCAGAAACGCAGAGAGACTAACTTATGGCAACACAAAATAAAACATGGGAGCGGTGGAGATGAGGAGGTGTCGGCGTTCTGGCGATTTACTCGGAAGGCTGCTGGGACTCCCAGCAGCTTCTACTGAAGCCAGTCCCCAACTCCGGGGACTTCCGGCCGGGGACTTTGGGCGGCAGTATACGCCGTGAAGTGGTTTGCGGCCTGCCAGTAAACCCAAAGCAGAAGAAGAAGAAGTGACGTCAGCGGCTTCATTTGCCTAATCCACCCCCAGGTTCAAAGAGTTCTCATGAACTAAATTCTCATGAACCTTTGTGGGAAAAGTACTGCGGTGTGAATGCGCCTAATGGTATACTAAAATCCATGTGAAAAAAATTGCTTCTCACTGTTCTTAGGTCAAATATTTAAATGTGATTAAAAATGCGATTAATTTCGATTAATTAATTACAAAGCCTCTAATTAATTAGATTAATTTTTTTAATCGAGTCCCGGCCCTAATATATATATATATATATATATATATATATATATATATATATATATATAGATATATAGATATAGATATATATATATAGATATATAGATATATATATATATATGTAAAGTACCATGTGTACAAACAATATAACTGATTCTCTTCTGTTGAACATGTTGGATTGTGTATTGTCCGAGTCAGGGGCCTTTTTATTTTACTGTAACTTTGGAAGTTGTGTTACCAATGCTTACTGTTTATTTGATACCCATTTGGTAATACAATTAATAAAAACAACAAGGTTTGGGTTCGTTCTTCAGATGACTGTGACGTTAACGTGTAAGCTCAATAATGAACTCCAGCTCAACCAACCATATTGTAATATCTAAGTAATCATCTTGAAATATGACATTAATAATTGTAATATACACACATCTTATTGTGAGGTTGATTTCACATACACTACTTCGACATTAGCTTGTCTACATACTTGAGCATAGCCAATTTAAATTAACCTTAGATGCATACAGTTCTACCTATATAATAAAATATCTCTAAGTTACAAGGATGTAACCTTATTTTATCAACCTCAAACAGAAGCCGTTTGTTCAACAGTATTATCCCACTTAACACTTGTCTATTTCGTTGTAACCTTTATATATACAGTCTATGATTTTAACTTGGAGGCTACGATTACAATCGTTAGCACCGATGTAGCTACCACTAGCTTACATGCTAACCCAAGCCTTACCATTCATTACGTAGCTGATTAAAATCATTAACACATAAATAAAGCACTAGAATTTCACTTACCGCAAAACCGCATTCATGCACCGTCTGTTTTAACCGCAGAGCGAGTCACAATAGTCCGATATAAGCATGAAGAACAAACAACCACGGCCGGCTACAAGTTGTGTTTCCTGGATGAGCTGAGCAGGCAGAGTCCCTGTAGCTTCACGGAGCAGCTAGCAGAGAGACAAGAAGCTAACAGCGGCAGGCACTTGACAGAGCCGTCACTCAATGTGACCACGCCCTAATTTATGCACAAACTTTAAGACCTAATATAAATAAAAGGGTCGCGTTAGAAAACAATTCACTCACAGATCCATAATCATGAAGGTGGAATCTAACTATATCGATAATAAAATATATGGAGCCAGGGGTAGAAACATGTTTTTTTCTGCTGTAAAGTTGGGCATTTTAACATGGGGGTCTATGGAAATTGCTCCTTTCTGCAGCCATCGCCTATCGGCCAATATATGAACTGCAGTGTGTGGCACTTCCGTATTGGCTTCCCGGCTCTACCCCACAGTTTGCCGCTTGGTTTGTCCACTTCTACAACATTTTAGAGATGCATTTTGTTAAAAAGTAACTAAAGCTGTTAAATAAATGTAGTGGAGTCAAATTATTTGGAGACATTTTTTCCCTTTTAAATGTACTGGAGGAGAAGTACAAAGTACCATTAAATGAAATTAGTCAAGTACAAGTACTTGAGAGAATGTACTTAGTTACTTCCCACCTCTGCCCAGGGGCGGACTGGGGGGGAAAAGTGGCCCGGGGATTAATTGACAGACAGGCCCACTTTATGGCGCATTTCCACTACACGGCCTCGCTCGGTATGGCTAGGCCTCGTTAGGCCTTGTTAGTACTGGCTCACTTTATGGCGCATTCCATTACAGTTTAGGAACTGGGGTAGTGTCTAGAGCAGGGGTGGGGAACCTCCGGCCCCCGGGCCGTATACGGCCCACGAGACAATTTGGTACAGCCCTCGAGGTAATTTATAAACACACGCAAAAAAGAAAAAAATGTAAGAAATCTAGACCGCAAAAGAATTAACCAAGCGAGTGCCTGTTTTTCCTGGCCAAGGTCAGGGTCCTTGAACACAACACGAGGCTAACGTGTCATCACGTGGTATATGTCTCGTCTGACAGGGGTGTAGTTCTGACGGAGAGCACCATAACGCAGCTCCGGCACTTCAAAAATGGCAGTTTTTGCGTGTCTGTGTCTTTAGTTGTAAGCCCAGTGGCAATCTGTTCATCTGTCATACTGATCATACAGTCAATAACTTTGTTGTTATTAGCATCTGGTTAGCTAGCTATGCTAACGAATATAAGAAGCTTTTTCTCCAACACACACACACACACACACACACACACACACACACACACACACACCACACACACACACACACACACACACACACACACACACACACACACACACACACACACACACACACACACACACACAGAGCCGAGCTTGAATGACACAAGCACACTTTTATTTCCATGCAACTCTCTGATTGGTCTGGTGTCTTGCCTCTGTTGCATTCACTGAACATGGGAAATTACAATCCTGTCGTCCTCTCTAGTGTCATGATGAGGTTCACGTAAAGCACGGTTAATGTATTATATTATTGAGGTAAAATTGTCCGGGGCTACAGAAAAAACATTCGGGGCAGGCCAAAATATTATTTTACCAACAATGTGGAATTTATTGGCTACATATTACACAGATTATGCACAGCGGGAGCAGCAATAACCGTCAAATAATAATTCAGACAGGGGAGCTCCGCACCCCCTACCTGCCGCTAGGGAGTGCTGCAGCGCCCTCAGCACCCCCCTTCCCGCGCCCATGCTCATATCTGTTCAGAAACTAGACAAAAGTTAAACAAGTACAAACCACAGACTGTCTGTTTCATGGCGAATACAGTCGCTGGTTTATTTATAGGCCGTTGTTGTGAGTGTGGACGGTCGGAGCATATACTGCGTTAGCTTAGCCAATCTCCATTTAGACAACACGCATTTTAAACGGTTTGCAGACTTGTCAAAGCATTAATTCATGGTTTTTACTAACCAGTATCAGTATGTTGTTAGTTCGGCATCATTTTGAAACGTGTATTACAATTAAATCACGGTCAAATATGTTCATCTTGTTGTAGTTGTAGCCCCCTTGCCAGCGATTCTCTCTCTAGTTTAGCATACTCAGCCCGACTCAGCCTGGTTGTTCCTGGCCCTAGAACCACGATTTTATGGGGCCAGAAAAACTGTGGAATAGTACCCGCTAGCCGTGGAAAGTGGAAACCGTGGAAACGCAACCGGCGCCGGCGACGAAAGTATGTTACTTAACAAAAAACCCTATGCATTTAATGTTATTTTGGACAATTATTCATATAGTCATCACATTACCTGAGCCCTTGAGTTGCCAGGGCAAAATAGTTACAGCATATATTTAGTGATTTTAATGTTAACAGATCATTGATGCAATAACATTTTGACCCAATTTGCCTGACTTGACACATGGAATAAAACATGGGCGTGGGAAGCATCCTCAATGTGGGTGAGACAATTTAACAGGGGGTGTGGGCAGGTGGTGGACCTCACCTCCTCTAGGGGGGTCCGGGGGCATGCTCCCCCGGGAAGATTTGTTTTTCAAATGTTGAAGTTAAATGCGTCAATCTGGTGCACTTTGAGAGCAAAATTAGGGACTAAATCTGGATACATCTCTCCACACCCATATGAAACAGAACTGTAAACAAATTGACTTTTTCTTTCAACATTTATTTGAACAGCAAGTGGAGGCAAAAGTGAAAACAATAAACCTGCTAGCTAACTAGCCTAAACTCAGTAACAGAATGTGGGCAACACGTTCTTCTCCACAGCCGCGCAACCTCTGAGTCAGACGTCACTTCCCCCTTTTCTATCCTACGGGTACAGCCACTCCCCCTGAACCCCGTTTCCCTGCCAACCCCCCCCCCCCCCCTATGCAAGCCCCTCCCTCTGAACCCAGGGCTCGCTACAATACTGTATACTGTATACACAAACTATACAAAATAGCCTTTATGCTTTGGAGCTTGTTTATCCACCTGTAAGCAACTACCAGCTAGGTCTCTCAGTCACTCACTCCTGATCGTTCACTGGCAGTGACAGCTGCTACGGGCCTGATGTGGAAAGTGAAACTATCTGATAGAGAGAACATAGGTAGCGTATCAAAACGACGCAGCCCAGCCACTTACAAATGTGGGCCGGTAGGATTTAGGTAAGCAAAAAAAAAAAAAAAGGGAGTGGCCGGAACAAAATGCGCACAGCACTGGCCCACCGGGAAAACTCCCGGTATTCCCAATGGCCAGTCCGCCCCTGCCTCTGCCTCAGATCTACTTCACATACAAGTCTCTTCATTCGGGTGTATTTCCACAGCCCCGGAAAACTGCTTTCCTTAAACCGCTCTGAAAAAAGAATAATCTAGACGCTTCATTAATGAACAGTTACAGGCCCATATCAAACCTCCCATTCCTAAAATCATTGAAAAAGGTTTTTTCAACAGCTGGGTAATGTCTTGCCTTTAAATAACTGTTTCGATTAGTTCCTATTACTCTATACTACATTACCTTGTTTATGTTATTTTTAGGGCCGGGACTTTAACGCGTTAATTAAGATTAATTAATTACACAACAATTAACGCGTTAAAAAAATTAACGCATTTTAATCGCACTTATTTTTGCACCGCGGAACGTTTCTCACTGGATGAGTTTCAGGCGTACCGATTATACTGGAGCACCAACTAACGTTCATGACTTCAGACAACAACAAACCACAGTGAACAACAGTGGGAAATGTTGTTTTAAAAAACGGACGGATGGAAGCGTCGATAAGAGCACGGTTGTGTGCAAATTATGCAAAAAGGAATTCGCATATCACCGCAGCACATCAAGCCTCAAGTATCACCTCAATGCAAAACATATAGCAGCTAGCGTGGAAGCTAGCGTGGACGTTAGCCTCTTTTATCGCGTTCACACCAAAAAGAGCCGGTACTAAAATGAGTTCATGAGAACCTTTTTACCCCCACGAAAGTCCCTGCTAGAGAGCAGAGAGCTGCTAGAGAGCAGGGACTTTCGTACGGCTCTCTTGTGAGAAAAGAGCTATATTTCTGATTGGCTGGGCGGATTGCAAACCACGCCCCGTAAAACTCCCAAAAGTTTTGTGAAGCCGCCATTTTATTATCCTCGCATTAGCATTATTAGCATTAGCCCAGCGCAGAAACGCAGAGAGACTAACTTATGGCAACACAAAATAAAACATGGGAGCGGGTGGAGATGAGGAGGTGTCGGCGTTCTGGGGATTTACTCGGAAGGCTGCTGGGACTCCCAGCAGCTTCTACTGAAGCCAGTCCCCAACTCCGGGGACTTCCGGCCGGGGACTTTGGGCGGCAGTATACGCCGTGAAGTGGTTTGCGGCCTGCCAGTAAACCCAAAGCAGAAGAAGAAGAAGTGACGTCAGCGGCTTCATTTGCCTAATCCACCCCCAGGTTCAAAGAGTTCTCATGAACTAAATTCTCATGAACCTTTGTGGGAAAAGTACTGCGGTGTGAATGCGCCTAATGGTATACTAAAATCCATGTGAAAAAAATTGCTTCTCACTGTTCTTAGGTCAAATATTTAAATGTGATTAAAAATGCGATTAATTTCGATTAATTAATTACAAAGCCTCTAATTAATTAGATTAATTTTTTTAATCGAGTCCCGGCCCTAGTTATTTTATTTGCTTTTTAATGACTTTATTTTATAATGTGATTCCGCTGCGTAATGCTCTTAATGTTTTTCACTTTTGTAAAGCACTTTGAATTGCTTTTTGTTGAAAGATGCTATTTGAATGAACTTGTCAGAGTACAGAAGATAACACTGATCTGAGAGCAGCTTACCTCCAGCAGCAGGCTGACTGAGAGAGAGTCTCAGAGAGATGTTGAGAACAGCCTGCAGAACACACAGCAGAGCCACAGAGAGGAGAAGAGGGAGGAGGAGCTCTGCAACACACACACACACACACACACACACACACACACACACACACACACACACACACACACACACACACACACACACACACACACACACACACACACACACACACACACACACACACACACACACACACACACACACACAGATACATGCTAACTTTACTATATCTTAGTTAGTAGTTCTCCTATCTTTTACTTATCTCACTAATAATCACAGATTGGTCCATTTCAGAATAATATATATGATATGTTTTATAATGATTGATCATGAAAGTGTTCTCAAAGCTGGTAAAGGTGCAGCTAGTTTGAATGACTTTGTATACTGCAGGGTAGCTTGTGAATTTACTCCAGGTGGAACTAAATTGTTATGTTTATATACTGTAACCCCCCCCCCCCCCACTCAGCACTCACTGGTCTTTGGGGTCTCCTCCACAGCGGCGTCCTGGGGCTGAGCTCCGGGGAACACCTGATACACTCCAACCTCCACATCGATGTGACCCTCACCGGGGGGGGACGCACTCGGCCATTTTGAAGCAGCTGCAGGGAGAAGTGTGCTTTATGTGTGATGTTGTGCAACACCCAAACCTTTTCCTGTGTGTGGAGAGGAACTATTGTCCCATCAGATGTTTCCTACACATTACATCTGAGTGTCCATCATCCTATCTCATTCTGCTACACATGGTTGCATAAAGAGATGCAAGACTTGTTCATTCTTTGGCAAGTGTGTTTTCTTGTTTAAAGTAAATGTATTTTACATTTTTTGTCAATTGCATTTTTTTGACAACAGGGCTCATTTTGTCAAAACACTAAACACAAAATCACACACCCAAAGTGCAAAACACCTCATATCTCGCAAAATGAATTACTGCACCCAAAACTACATAAACACAAACCTGCTGACTGCAGTGGGGTTTGAACCCCCTGATCCGAACACCTACGCATAACCCACTGCGCCACACACCAACGATGCTGCAAACAACTCTTCAACTGACTTCAGTTCATCCTCCCTCGTCCTCTTGCTGCTGTCCATATATGCATTGTTGTTTTTATACATTTCTTACATGAAGCCTTTTTCTAGTGCTTACATCCTGATCGATGAGTCAACAGTAACGCACTTTGGTGTTTACGGCCATTTGGCACGTGGTTCATGTGTGCAGCATTTTTAATAGCAGTGTTTTGAAAATGACAAACAAGTGAATATGTCAGATTTCTGTGTCTTACTTGGAGAACCGTGTGCAGTGTTTTGCAAACAGTGCCAAGTTGAATTGCAAATTGGGTGCAGATCTGAAAATGTGTTTAGCGTTTTGGAGACATGAGCTGAGGTTTTGCTCTTTGAGTGCGAGTTTAAATGATTATGCTTTATGTGAGATTTTTGTGTTAGCAACTGAAAAAAACTGTAAATGTGAATTATTAACCTTTTTTGAGAATATAAAAGGTGAGATTATTTTTGTTTCTAACAAAAATATATGTTCACAAATAATGTTTGCTTTAGCATTTAAAAGAAAATAGTGAAAAATACTTTTGTTCGTCATGTTCGTCATATCAGAAAGTCAACTTTCCCATTTCAAAATTAAACATGTATATGTGATATGAAATACCTTCAAGTCATTCTAAGAACCCTTCAGAAATGACTTCAAACCAAGATCAATTATTTCATGAGCTATTCTAATGTAACCTGATGGTGTCCTTCTACAATCCCTGACTGTCAATCAACCCTGGCCTCATGCTTTAGCATTTCAATGTAAGTGATATAATAGATGATTATCAGTGACATGTTCGTGTCACTGTGTAGTAATGTCCTGTTGGGGAACAGCAGCAGCTTTACACAACCGGCTTACACAAACATGTTGCTCTTAGACATTTATTTCCATTGAAATCTCATGAAATGTGGAAAAGTGTCAACACCGACGGAGCATTCTGGTGAAAAAAGATAGTACATATAAAATGACATGAATTTTATCCTAACAGGACAAATGTGTTGAGTGATTGACTTTCCAACAAATCATCTTAAAACCTTCATCTGCTCTTCCAGTCTCCCATATATATATATAGAGTATGTCATAAATCATAGAACACGCTGAGTTCATTTTATGTCCGTCTTAAACTCAACTCCAATCTAGCTGTCTATTATTTCAGCCATTATCAAGTTGCTACATAAAAAAACGATTAAAAAAAAGGAGTTGCTGCTCTATTTCACTCTTAACATAATCCTTTCTTTCTTAATGAATCCATGTGAACTAAAACCAACGTAGCACTAGTTAGTTTCTACATTGTGTATATGAGCCTCTCACACACTGTGATGCACAGCATTCACAATCTGCTTAGAATGCACATCATTCTACCTCCAAGGAAGATTTACCAAAAACACAAATGTGAAAAATACTGACCCCTGCATGAGCCTTACACGTTTCATTAATAGGCCGCTGCACATTTGTCAGTCTGAGATCAGGTGTGCATTCAAATACCCATACTACCAACAACATTAGTATGTGAAATTCAGTTTGCCAATAATAAAAGGTTGTTCGACAGCATGTGGTCACAGTCTGAAGTGTGTAAGCAGTGTGTCTTTATCCTGCATGCACACACGCTGCAGAACATACCGAGAGTAAACTGAGGAAGTATGAGATTTGGAATGCAGCCCAGGAGGAATGTTATCTATGCCAGAGCCATGCTGGGCATGGCAGTTACACACTTTGATACTATTGGCCAGTTCATTTCTCCTGATGTAAGAATACAGGTGTAAGATGGAGAATTATAAATTGTATATAATCAGGAAGCCCCTGACCATTACTAACAGAAAACAACTGTGTTGTGTTAGTGGGGGAATCAAGAGTGCTGCTGCCACAACATCTGCATACAGCTTCAGCCTCTCCAGGCTTCAGTGTTTAAGGTGATTATGTTTCAGAGCATGTGTGAATGCAGTGGAGATTTGACAAAGACAGAAAGTCACATTCGGAATATGATAAACAAAAATACCATTTAGATAAGGAACTATATATGCATATGTGGTTAGTAACAACATATAGCTGAGCATGTTTCATTCTAATATCGCTGACTGTACAGCTTAATAAACACTGTTCTAATGTCTACATGTACAGGGTGAGGGGGCTTCACTGAGGCGGGGGAGGGGGAGGAGGGAGGTCAGAGAAGTTTGGTGGCCAGCGAGGAGAGGAAAAAGACGGATTGAAGAAAGAGTGAGGAGGGGGAGGAGGAGGGTACATGGGGAAGTTGGGTGGGGGAAAGAAGTGAGGATGAGGAGGTGGATGAGGAGGGTAAGGACAGGGAGGGGGGAGGTACATGGGGGGCACGTGTGTGTGTCTGTGTGTGTGTGGAGGGGCTGTGTGGCTGAATGCTGGCTGTTTATTCCTCGGGTTGTGATGCCTGAGGGGAGCTCCTGCATGTCTCGGTGGGAAACCCCTGGCGTTATGCTGCTGATGCTGCTGCTGCTGATGCTGATGCTGCTGATGCTGCTGCTGCTGATGCTGCAAAGTGTTCTGGGGAACGTTGGCAGGATTATCTGGAGAGGAAATGAGAAAGAATAGATGGCTGTCAATCATCTTCTACATGAGGGTTTAACACTCTCCCCAGCCCCCATGAAGTAAGCTTCATTTTTGCGCACAATTGTGTCTTTTCTTGTGCCCCTAAGGCTATTCTACCAGGAGCATGTAAAAAAGCTATTCCATTGTTTTGGAGAATGTTCACCTGATGTCTTATTTTGAAAATTAAATGCTGGCTTTATTATCTGCCAAGAGAATTCACAATGGTTAATGTTTGTTAAAGGGGACCTATCATGCAAAATGCACTTTTATACATCAATATGTGTCCCCGTTTGTCAGGGAACTCACACAGTAGGGCTGAACGATATACCGTGTCATGGCGATAACCGCGGTATGCGCATGCGCGGTATTCAGACCGCAGGGACGTGCGGTTTTATTCCTTTTTTTTTTTTTTATTACTTATCGAAACTGCACATACAATATATCCGATTAAAGCTGAGACTCCACAGATTATTTAAGTATAGTATCTAAGCGATCCGATCTCGCGACAGGGGAAGCAAACACAGACATCACAACACGTACCTTTTACGGGAGATCGTCTCACCGTAGCTGTCAATCTGATCAAAAGACGTGTTCAATGGCATTAAAACGAGAAAAAACGCAGCTGAATTGGTTGATCCATAGGTTGATAATGTATCTGTGGCTTTGAAGCAATTGTTATAATCCATAATTCCATTTTTATGTAAAAATCGGAGCACAAAAGTTAGCTGCTAATGGTAGCCACCAGAGTGTATGCAGCTTCCAGTTTTGGCTACGCGTCACTCTCACTCCTTATTTGTTCATGTGTTGGTGTGTGTAGAACTTCCCCTGCATGCATAGCAAACCACCAATCACAATCATTCTTGATCAGATCATAGCAGGCCAAGACCGGAAGCAGCAGCCACTCTGGTGGCTACCATTAGCAGCTAACTTTTGCTCTGCGATATTTACATAAAAATGGAATTATGGATTATAAATTAAATCATTTTTTTTATACAGAGACGTTAAAAACCTATAGATTAACCGATTCAGCCGCGTTTTTTCTTTCTCGTTTTAATGCCATTGAACAAGTCTTTTGATCAGATTGACAGCTACGGTGAGACATCTCCCCTAGAAGCTACGTAAAGGTACGTGTTGTGATGTCTGTGTTTGCTTCCCCTGTCCGAGTTCAGATCACTCAGTGATGATACTATATACCTAAATAATCTGTGGAACCTCAGCTTTAAATCGGATATCTTGTATGTGCAGCTACGATAAGTAATAAGGGTACTTTTATCTTGAGTTCTGTGCCAAAGTGCGTTAGCATTTTTCGCTCAGGGGTCATTTAGATGCTTCTTATGAGACTTGTGTTTTGTTTTGGTAAAAATGGTTTGTATCGTCAGTTAGCTGAGATTATTTCCGTTAATCTGGTATAACACATTAATAGGTTCTTAAATATTACGATCCCCTGTGACACAGTGTCGTGAAAAAAAAAAGTAAAGTACCCGCCGGGACTTTGGGGTTTAACAGGTTAAAAAAAACGCAATATATATCGCAGGGGGGGGGGGGGGGGGGGAAATCGCGATGTTAGTTTTTTTCAATACCGTGCAGCCCTATCACACAGTGTCAGAAAAATAAAACCCTCTCTCTTTTCCTCCGTACCCACATCTCTACAACGGAGCTGATCCAGATTTGATGTCATATCGGCAATGCGGACCCACGGTACTATCAGAAACAATGCCCGACTGTTTTGGACGTAATATGGTCGGTGTTTACATTAGCATCGCTAACACTCAGAGCTAACCTGTACTGGAGAGCATGTGTGTGAAGAAGCAGGAAATAAAAAGGAACTCACTTTGTGGTATAAAGCTTTTCAATCAGCACTTTTGAAACAGGAAATGAAATGGAGGGATATGAGGCATGGCTAGAATGGGTGATCTGTTTGGTATTTTGAGCAAAACACTTCATAGACATGTTTTTTGTATATTTTTATATATCTGAGACTATATGCTATTGCCTAAAAATAGCATGACAGGTGACCTTTAAAGAGTACCTATCATGATATATTTATACCACAAGGCAGTGGTGCCAGCAGGGGGGGGGGGGCATGGCCACCCTGATATATTTGTTGGCCCCCCCACCACACACACCACCTCGCCAGTCACGTATGCGTAGTAGTTTCTGATATTTAACAACAAATACACAGCCAGCGAGTCGCTTAATTTGAGCTTCCAACGCTCATACTGCAGCCCCTCCCTCTCCCTCTGCTACCATGGTAACACTCTGATACTCGCGCGCACCACTCTGATACTCGCGCGCACCACTCTGATACTTGCGCGCACCACTCTGAGATTCGCACAGACAGCAGCAGGTTGCAGAAAAACGTTTCTTTCTACTGACTTGACAAAAATCCAAAAGACTTCTAGAAGGTAAATCGTATACGTTTGTTGCCTGTTAAGCCCCACAACACTTTAGGCTTTAGTATGTTAGCTTTAGGTAGCAAAAAACGGAGATATTATTATTATATTTATTCTGATAAAAAATTGTGTTCAATGGCATTAAAACGAGAAAAACGCTGGAAGACCTGGAAAACAGGCTCGGGGCTCAGTAAAGGCTGGTTTGGCTTCAGGTATAATTCGTCTGTAAACACACTTTGGCGGCTATCCTAGTTAGCGTTAGTTTAGCTTGCTAAGCTAATGTTAGCTGATGTTGGTATGCTGGGCTGGTGTAATGCGTAGGATACTATTAATCACTGCTGTGTGTAATGTCAATTTGCAGAAAATGAAGAGAAAGTCAACAGACATCTCTTCTTTTAAGAAGAAGATGAGTAAAGGAGAGACAGAGCTGGCAGGGCTCCCCTGCCAGCTCTGTCTCTTCAATGACTGGAGATGACTGGAGAGGGCGGGTTGCCGACCCCTGACCTAGAGACATAATATAACTGAAGAACATGTTGTGTTGCTGTTGTGTGTTGAGAATGCTGAACATTTTGTGCCTTACAATAAAGGAACTTATTTAAATTAAGCTGTATTTGTCTTTTTAAAAAGGAAAGAACAACTAGCATATATAAAAAACAAAACAATAAATCACCAACACATGTATACATAACACAAAACAAGGTTCTTTTAATACTAAAAGGTGGTGTTTTGTATCATTTATAATGTTTTGAATTTGCTATAAAAGGTCAATAATAGATGGTGTTTTTGTGTTCAATCACAGTATGTATTTACCATTTTATACCCCTTGTGTTTTTGGGTCCTGTTGAAATAAAATAGTCATGTTTTAAAACTTGATTTAATAAAGTCATGTCAATCATCTTTGATCCCAGTGTGACGCAAACAGCTTTGTTCAGTCTAAAACAATTTATAACCTAGAGCAGGGGTCACCTTTTTGATATGAAGTGCCATTTAAAAAAAAAAAATGTTATCAGCGTGCCAACGATCGAGAATTATCAACGGGGGGGGGGGGGGGGGGGGGGGGGGGGGGGGGGGGGGGGTGGGGGGGGGGGGTTGAGGAGCTTGACGCTCGTGAACTATCAGCAGGAGGGCGGGGGAGCCTCGCTGCGGGGAAGCAGTGTGTGGACCTGTCAGCGCAAATTACATGATGCAGAATTTAACAATAACATTTAAATAATTGGTTTAAACGGCATAATAATAAGGACGATCGTCCGTTCTGTGATTCTCCAGAACACACATGTTGTGATATTAGGGTCATGCAGAGTGAGATGAGATCGCTGTCCCTTTAAGAGAGAGAGGGGTGTGGCTTGTGCATGTGTGTTTGCGGATGGTAGAGCGACAGTGAGGGAACGTGTGTTTGTTTCTGGAAGTGAAACGAGGAAGCAGAAAAACAGAGGTCTGTGATGTATTTTGTGAAACAGCAGAACAGCTAAATAAATGCGACGGCCTCCCAAGAAGAGCTCGCCTCTCTCCAGTCATTGAAGCTAAAGTGTGTTATTGAACCTGAAGCTTGTTGCTTCTGCCCTCCTCGACTACGGTCTGGGAGCCGACAGGAAAGTTCAACACACAGATGGCCAGTCCGCCTCTTTGTAGCCATAGCCGCGGGAAGTCATTTTACTTAGGGGGTGCTGCGAAAAGGCGGTGCCGGCCGTCAGCGAGCGATACGAGCCGGCCCGCTGACATATAGATACAGACATAATCATAGTTATGATTTTACTTTATTTTAAGTCAAATCATAACTATTTTATGTAGTTGATCATTTTTATTTAGGTGGTCGCTCAGTTTTTCAAATGTACACCATTCGCCAACAGGGGGTGCTGCAGCACCTCCAGCACCCCTACTTCCCGCGGCTATGTTTGTAGCATATTATTTCGATGAGAGATGAGCAGATCACCACTGGGCTTTCAACTAAAGACACAGCCACGCAAAAACTGCGGCATTTGTACAGCTCCTTATGGGTACTGCAATTTGTGAAGTGTTTTCCTCTGTGGTGAAACGATCAGCACTGCACCACGGAGGAAAGCGGCAGAAAGTCACCTGGAGTTAAAGAGAGTGGGGCTGCGTTGCGTGCATGGCTTCCTTCTGCAGGTAACGGGGAGACGCGCTCTGGCGGCGGTCTCGTTCAGGATCCGAAAATACAATTTAAATATTTTGCAAACTTATTCCTAGTGTGCCACTGGTTACAGTGCCGCGTGCCAATACTGGCACGCGTGCCAGGGGTTGCCGACCCCTGACATAGAGACATAATATAACTGAAGAACATGTTGTGTTGCTGTTGTGTGTTGAGAATGCTGAACATTTTGTGCCTTACAATAAAGGAACTTATTTAAATTAAGCTGTATTTGTCTTTTTAAAAAGGAAAGAACAACTAGCATATATAAAAAACAAAACAATAAATCACCAACACATGTATACATAACACAAAACAAGGTTCTTTTAAATGTTGTTTGAAAATGTTAACTATCCGTATTATATTCACTTCAGATGAATAGTATCAGAAAATGTAAAATAAGAAACCAAAGTATATCAGAAGGTGATTCTCTTTGCCATTGTTTTCATCTAGTCTATACTTTTACAACAATTAAATGCTTGGTTTTGGTGGGCCACCCCAAGATTTTCAGTGGCCCCATTTGGTCACCCCTATGAAAAATGTCTGGAGGCGCCACTGCCACAAGGTGAGTTCCTTTTCACACACATGCTCTCCAGTACAGGTTAGCTCTGAGTGTTAGCGATGCTAATGTAAACACCGACCATATTACATCCAAAACTGTCGGGCATTGTTTCTGATAGCAACTTTCTGATAGTGCCGTGGGTCCGCATTTCCGATATTAAGTCATATCGGACGCAAATCTGGATCAGCTCCGCTTTTAGAGATTTGGGTACGGAGGAAAAGAGAGAGGGTTTAATTTTCTGACGCTGCGTGAGTTCCCCGACACACCGGGGACACATATAGTGGGGCAAAAAAGTATTTAGTCAGCCACCAATTGTGCAAGTTCTCCCACTTCAAAAGATGAGGCCTGTAATTTTCATCCTAGGTACACTTCAACTATGAGAGACAGAATGGGGGGAAAGAATCCAGGAAATCACATTGTAGGATTTTTAATGAATTCATTGGTAAATTCCTCGGTAAAATAAGTATTTGATCACCTACAAACAAACACGATTTCTGGACCTGTAACTTCTTCTTTAAGAGCCTCCTCTGTCCTCCACTCGTTAACTGTATTAATGGCACCTGTTTGAACTCGTTATCAGTATGAAAGACACCTGTCCACAACCTCAAACAGTCACACTCCAAACTCCACTATGGCCAAGACCAAAGAGCTGTCAAAGGACACCAGAAACAAAATTGCAGACCTGCACCAGGCTGGGAAGACTGAATCTGCAATAGGTAAGCAGCTTGGTGTGAAGAAATCAACTGTGGGAGCAATTATTAGAAAATGGAAGACATACAAGACCACTGATAATCTCCCTCGATCTGGGGCTCCACGCAAGATCTCCCCCCGTGTGGTCAAAATGATCACAAGAACGGTGAGCAAAAATCCCAGAACCACACGGGGGGACCGTCAATGACCTGCAGAGAGCTGGGACCAAAGTAACAAAGGCTACCATCAGTAACACACTACGCCGACAGGGACTCCCAGACGTGTCCCCCTGCTTAAGCCAGTACATGTCCAGGCCCGTCTGAAGTTTGCTAGAGAGCATTTAGATGATCCAGAAGAGGATTGGGAGAATGTCATATGGTTAGATGAAACCAAAATAGAACTTTTTGGTAAAAACTCAACTAGACGTGTTTGGAGGAGAAAGAATGCTGAGTTGCATCCAAAGAACACCATACCTACTGTGAAACATGGGGGTGGAAACATCATGCTTTGGGGCTGTTTTTCTGCAAAGGGACCAGGACGACTGATCCGTGTAAAGGAAAGAATGAATGGGGCCATGTATCGTGAGATTTTGAGTGACAACCTCCTTCCATCAGCAAGGGCATTGAAGATGAAACGTGGCTGGGTCTTTCAGCATGACAATGATCCCAAACACACCGCCCGGGCAACGAAGGAGTGGCTTCGTAAGAAGCATTTTAAGGTCCTGGAGTGGCCTAGCCAGTCTCTAGATCTCAACCCCATAGACAATCTTTGGAGGGAGTTGAAAGTCTGTGTTGCCCAGCGACAGCCCCAAAACATCACTGCTCTAAAGGAGATCTGCATGGAGGAATGGGCCAAAATACCAGCAACAGTGTGTGAACACCTTGTGAAGACTTACAGAAAACGTTTGACCTCTGTCATTGCCAACAAAGGGTATATAACAAAGTATTGAGATGAACTTTTGTTATTGACTAAATACTTATTTTCCACCATAATTTGCAAATAAATTCTTTAAAAATCAGACAATGTGATTTTCTGGATTTTTTTTTCCTCATTTTGTCTCTCATAGTTGAGGTATACCTAGGATGAAAATGACAGGCCTCTCATCTTTTTAAGTGGGAGAACTTGCACAATTGGTGGCTGACTAAATACTTTTTTGCCCCACTGTATTGATGTATAAAAGACATCAAAAAGTGCATTTTGCATATAATATTACTTTTCTAGCAAATTAAAAAGTTCTAATACTGTTGTGTTCTGTGGTGCTATTTGTGTCTAGCATAATGGACTAAGCTATAAGGAAATGTTGTTTGCTATAAATTATCTTCTTATCTATTCATCTCTTGACTTCTTTCAGATGAAATCAGCATAAAAAGCATGCCAACATGTGAGTTACTGTGAGCAGATACCTGTTTGGTTATTGGCCCTCTTCTTCCTGGCGTTTTTCCCTTTCCTCTTAGCTTCATGTTCCTTCTCATCATCGCTGTAATCTAAAGCCTGGCGATAGGACAGAGAAGAGCAGAAACTACAGATTTACTTTACTTTGTTAGGAGGATTTGAACCTTTTCAGCTTCATCAGATTGACTTGTTTTATGACTCCTGAAACACAGGATAGTCACAACACTTAGCTAATAAACATGTTTCAGCATTTATATTTAGTCTAATTTGTGCAAATATAACACTTTTCTAAGGAAATTATGCTGAAAAAGATGCTTGGGTAACTTAGAAATGGTGTCAAAATATAATCTTCACACAAGTCAACCTTCTAGTGATGTGCCAAATAGGGGTGTAACGGTTCACAGCATTCACGGTTCGGTATGTACCTCGGTTTGGGAGGTCACGGTTCGGTATGGGTTCGGTACAACAAGAAAAAGCAAAAAAAAGTCCCAAATGCATAATTCCAGGGTTTTTTATTTATTTATTTTGAACAGTAGTGCAAGTTTCAGTTTAAAAAATAAGGAACCTTTTTTTTTAAGGAACATTTTGAATAATTAACTTTATTACACAGTTAAAAACAAACAGTACCACACACACTCAGATGGCCATATTATCTATAATGGCTGATGTCAAACAACAAGGTTCAATAAGCTGTAAAACTAAAAAGAATGTCTTGAAAATATTACAAAATAAATAATAAGAAAGTGTTTCAATCACAATCAATAAAAGTCGGGGTCCTCCACTATTGCATAAGGGTGCATAGCAGTTGAAAAACATATGCCAATAGCTTCCGTTATTTATTTCGGTCTCTTGGCTTTCATGTCTATTGGCTTCTTAAAAACAGCGGGGATCAGCTGTTGAACTGCTGTTGTCTTTTGCCGGGCTCCAGTGATTGCCAAATCTGGGTGATGCCTTCTGATACGATTTAGCATGTTTGGCGTGTGTTACCATTAGCATACCGCACCGCTGTCTAACAACGCCGACACACCGTCCTCGTCCGATCCACCACCTGAAATGTTCCCACACAGCTGATTTAAAAGAAGCAGGTGGGTTCTAGCTCCTGTGTGTTATCTGAACTCGCCATACTAACTTTTCTTCTTCTTGTATTTTGTTCGTTTTGTTTTCTTCTTCTTCTTCATTTGTTGTTTAAGGGCGGCTGGCAAACAGCTTTTAGGCGCAATACCGCCCCCTAGATTGTATGTAGTGTAGTGGATACTGCCCTGAATGACAGACCTTTTTCCCACACATAAAAAAAAGGCGCATTCGTCGTGTGATTGCATGCACCGAACCGTGACGTCCGAACCGTGACGTCCGAACCGTGACGGTACGGGACAAATACGGATATCGTTACACCCCTAGTGCCAAATGAACAAAGATATCTTTTTATTGTCCGTTATGTAGCGGGTCAGCCAACGCTAAATGCTAGTGTTTGAAGCCAACGTTGTCTCTGAAACTGTTTTCAGTAGTTCAGATAAGATAGAGGCTAATTGTAGCTTTAGTTGATCAAACAGAGGTGTTTAAACACAGTCTTTGTGCTTACCTCCGCTGGTGGTTCTTGGTCGTTCTTCCAAGATGCATCAGATCCCTTGTAGCTGAAGCAAAAGTATTTTCATTATGACTCACAAGTTAGTTCACTTTAAGGTGTCAAAAGTGATGGCTACTTAAAAAGAAACAAGGATGATACGATGATAATTATCAGGCCATTCCCTATCACACAGCACAAACAAAGCCTTCAAGCCCAACCCAGTCTCACGGCATTTTGTGTAATAGTCACGAAATAAATGTAATCTATTGATTCGTGTTCACAAACATGATTTTCTCATTTTTTTCATGTCACACAGAACGATTGTAAGCAATGTATTTCTATTGGTAGTATGTTTCATGCCAGCACCACCTCTTTTTGTCCGGTCGGGTCGTGGAAGACCGGAAGCTGTGTGGTTCATTAAAACACGTTCTTACTCAATATCAAGTCACGATTATTGTTTTTATTTTAAAATTGTATAATGTCGGACTTTTTTTGCCCTCCGAGAGGAAAATAAATGGGGCTCAGAGCCTCAGAATACTGAAATCTGTATTTTTAAATATTTGTTTCCTTCCAATTTGTTATTATTTACATTGCTTTTAAAATGTGGAAATCATGTTGGTGAACACGAATCAATAGATTAATTTCGTGACACGAAATGCCGTGAGACTGGGTTGCGTAGCCACACAAATATTAACGTAAAACCCACTAATCAAACAAATGGGTGAAATATTATTTATTAATTGTCTATTGTATTAATAACACTCCACAATGAAGTGACATTGCAAAGTTTTAAGTCAGAACCCTATACGTTCTTACCGCCCCGCAGCAGCTGCACAGCACTTCTAAAAGCCTGAACTTTAATGAGCAGCATGCACTTACACTTGGAGCTGTTGAGTGAGGATGTATTTTGCGTATTCTTTGATGGAAGGTGTGTAATACAGAGTCAGTCCCTCTGTCAGCCCTTTGCTTCTGATCTGCTCCTCAGAGCTGAAGCGCAGAATGTACAGCGGACTGGAGACCGGACCGAACACCTCGAACACCTGAACGCATCAACAGGACATTAGCACGCAGGAACACACTGAGGACATTAAACACACCTGGTCAGAGGTAAAGAGCAACACACACCTTGCCAACAGCCAGCCTATCAGATGTGAAGATGACGCTGTCGTCAGTCAGAGGGGGCGTGTCCTTCAGAGACTGGATTATCACTGCAGAGACAGGACAGAGATGAAAATGACACATTTCTAGGTTGAACTTTCAAAAAAATCTGTTCCTATGTCTATTCATAAACACTTTTCCCTAACCTCAGTGAAAATGTCATGGGGTTAAAGGAATGACGATAGTAGAATTCATCAGGACTTAGGAAAAGACCACTGAGGTGCAGAGAATTTGACGGCATGTACACTAGGCGACGTTAATATGATGCAACAAAGGATGTTATGGATGTTCGTCCATCGTGGGGAAAGTACATTTTACAGTTCACAAACTACTGAAAGCATATCTAGATACTTCACCCTGTGTGTTCTTATCATGTTGTTTCATGCTGGCTTCATAAACATGGTCAACAGTGGAAAATATATTATTAACCAAGATATCAATTCAAATTAAAAAAGGAAATAGAACAAAAATGGTTGCTCGTAGTGTACCCTCGTGTCCACTCATATTAAACAACATGAATCCTGAAGTATGATTGTCTCAAACTATTTGTATACAAAATAATGTGTTAAACCTACTCATCTGCTACTGTGCATATCACAATTTAAACATGTTGAGATAAAACAAATTTGCTTAAGAAAACACTTTCAGTAGATGTTGGCTTTATTTTGATGATTCAACAGTATCAGCGTATTGTCAGAAATTGCTGGTTTGTGTTGCAGCGTGACCTCAGCGTGAGTGTGTCTTTACTTACCAAGTTGCTGTATAATACTGGAGACTGTGCCTACAGGCTTTAGTTCTGCATCTTCTGGTAAGGACACCAACACCTCCTCCACGGCTGGCAGCTCCTACACACAGACACAGGGTCAGCTTTGGTCTGGTTTGAAGGTACGTTTGTTGACACGATATCCCCATTAGGTTATTATGTCCTTATTTTTTTTTCAAGTTCTGTAAAGACTGGTGCTGTGATGACCACATGGTAAGTACACCGCGTTATGATATTTCAACTAGGGGTGCAACAACTAATCGACGACCAAATTAGTTGCCAACTAATTCAGTCGTCGATTCGTTGGTGACGTCATCACGTGTGTTTTACGCGCCGTTAAGCTTCAAAGTTATTGGTCTTTTTATCGGTAATGGAGACATTTAAAAAATATATGTCATGTATTGTTGCTACATAAGCATTATATCGCAGTCTTAGTGTCGCCAACTCGTTTCTAATATGCAAAAAGACAAACAAATGCGTCTATGATGTATTTTAGATCTTTCCAATCCAGACCCTCCCTCCGTCACAACACAAACACACACACACACACACACACACACACACACACACACACACACACACACACACACACACACACACACACACACACACACACACACACACACACACACACACACACACACACACACACACACACACACACACACACACATACACACACACACACACACACACACACACACACACACACACACACACACACACACACACACACACACACACACACACACACACACACACACACACACACACACACACACACACACACACACACACACACACACACACACACACACACACACACACACACACACACACACACACACACACAGAGGTGTGGTTCAACTTTACCCGTTTCGATGCTCGTTGCCAAAAGTGCAATAAGAGTTTAGCATGTGAGGGCCGTAACACGAGCAATGTGTCTAAACATTTAGCAAAAGTGCTCCACATTCAGACGGAGGAATGCACCGGGTTCAACTGTCTTTCTAGCAGCTCTGTAGCCCCATCCACGAGTAACGTTTCCACGTCAGGTGTTATGTATGCTAGCAGCAACACACGGAGTTAAAGGTGACATGTCATGCTTTTCCGGTTATTACCCGTCCCCTTGTGTGTTATGAAGGTTTTTATGCATAAATGGTGTGCAGAGTCAAAACCCTCAAAGTACACCATGTAGCGAGTAAAACTCTAACCCAGAAAATACCTCCCCAAAACGCCTCGTTGGAGATACGTCACTGTCCGTTTGATTCTTCCGGGTACATCATGATGTCATGTCGTCCCCGGAACGAAATGGACCAATCCGTGGAGCCGTTACGTTACGTCCGCGGAGCCGTTTTTTTATTTTTTTATTTATTCTACTAAAATCATACAAAAACAAAAACGTATAATTCATACACACATGCATTTACACAAACTACTAATAGTAGTTTAACTACTTAATTCAAAGGTTTACAGTAATTCTGGATAATACAATGGGAAAAATAAACGGGTGCTCTCTTTTCCTCTCCCTCTCCTGACAGCCCGTCAGTCTCGTGCAGCTCGCTGAACCTCTAATAAGTGACCGACAGTAAAAAATAAATATAATTAGTTTAGCTAGTTCCAGAGTAGATAAACTAGCTAAGTGCGTTAGGTCTAACTCTTAGTGTATTTTTGCTCGGCTCAACGGTCCGTCACAGCGGCGGAGCTGTGATCATGCAGAGCTGCGTTTTCTCCGTCAGCAGCAGCTGATCTGATCTCTCTCTCGTGTCCGGTTAGACTTCACTCGCGTCTAAGTCCAAATCTATCAGATCTAGCTAGTTCTAGTTAATTATATGACTGCCTGCTTATCAAAGGACCTAAACAATAAGCGTTGATTGGCAACGGCGTGTGGCCGCAAAGTATAGTGCAGCATTATGCATATGTTTATATGAGGGGTCAAAATCCCATGCTCATAAAATGCTCATATATTTTTTCTCTTCGTTCCCCACGCCCCTAAACAAATAAATAAATATACCAATTTTAGGAAAAGTAAGGAAGTTTGAGCAGTGTGGGTTTTATATGAACAGAGTTACACATATTTCAAAACGCAGAGTGTAATAACTGCAGGTTGCCTCCCTGTCAGAATGACAAAGATCCTCAGTGAAGCTCAAGCCCATGTTTCACTACATTAAGTACAACTTATTCAAAAGATCAGTGCAATGCAACTAATGTCGTCTTAGTGTTATTGCATGATGTTAAAATTGGTTTGCCATGAATTTAGTGATGGATTGTAAACATTTGAAATGTAGCATTTAAGTGTTTCTCAGTTACAAGGTTGTTGTTTTAATAAATCAGACACTGATGGTGCAGCGCTGTACTGTACCTCTTTATGCTTTTTTTTCCTTAACAAATCGTTTTTGCGCTGATCAGGGGGTACTTGGCTGCATTTTTTTTTCAAAGGGGGAACATGAGTGAAAAAAGTTTGAGAACCACTGTATTAGAGCATGCAAAGAAGCAGCATGTGTGCCGCACCTAATGCCAATGACAAATATTGTTTTTCCTTCAAAAAAGGCGTATTTTTTAATAAACTTTAACGAAAACAATTGGGCTTATACCAAATTATTTTTACCGGACAATATGACGGCAAGCGGAAACATTGGCATAACCACTGCATAATGTATCGTAGAACAACATGTGAAAATCTCTTCAGCTTGTGTTAACCACAGAGCTTATTTCGGGCATCTAACCAAAAACACTTGAAAAAAACCATTGACTTTGAGACAAGGATAAGTGGTCAAATGCTAACTCTATACACAATCAACCGAAACCAAGTAACAGGAGGTCTTAAAGCAAAAACATACAACCACAGACTGACCTCGAGCAGGACTTCATCTCTGGTTTTGATGGGGGCCGGTTGGCTGAAACCCTCGTCATCGTCATCCTCCACCAAAACAGGTGGAGAGGGAGAAGAGGATGATGAAGAGGAAGAAGAGGAGGATGAAGAGCTGTCACTGGGGAGGGGAAAGGAAGAGCATCAGAGGGAGTTCATCGTTTCCATTCCCTTACTGTAACAAGCAGTTCACTCAAATACATTAATAACCAGCATTTTGTCCACTTGTGTGTAGGGCTGTGCAATTTAATCGATCCTGCGATATATATCGATATTTAGTTTTCCGAGAAAGTATCGATATTTCAGCCGCGGGTATCGATACATTAAGTCTGATAACTGTGTTCGTTATTCTCGCGTCCAGGAGAGAAGCTTTAAAAAGGAGACTAATTGAGTCTCTGAGAGGTTCAAATGTATACTTTAATTAATAAAAAGCGCGGTAATGTTACAAGCAGAAGATGGTCAGAAAAACAGCTGTGTTCTGGCTCTCGTGAGCGAAGGGAAGAGAGCGAGCTCCACCTTTCCAACTGTTAAATATCCTCTGCTGGGGGCCGGCCCTCCACGTCTCCAATGTTCGTTGTTGCGCATTACAGAAGATTCAGACATTGTACATTAAATATATATCTAAACACGCCTTTTCTCCTCCTTATCTCTTTCATGACTTTTCATTTAATACATTTTAAACGCTGTAATCAATACTCCAAAAATACCTCACGGCTGGTATCATTTCCGGTAGTTCCGAATGTTGTCTCATGCTACCCACGTCTGTAAACAAACTTATTCAAATAAACTGTACCTTCATTTAATATTCAGCAATAATAATATCTCTACGTCTATAGTTGTAGTGTTGAAATCAGTAGGTTTCGGTGTGCAACACGCCGTGTCATATCGCTACTAAATTCACCTCTATAGTAAATGGTATATTAGCCACATGCTAAATGCTAACCGGAGATGAAGGATTTTCAGAATAAAAGCTTAACAACTGGTTGTGCACAAGAACTTCTGGTTTTTCAGTATAAAACAGCATTTAAACTGACGGTATGTTTAAGATACTTTATGCCATCAAAACATTGATTTTAATTTCTAACAAGTCCCATTCAAATCCCCCGTGTTCCGCCACCTGCTGCACCTTTTAATTCTCCATTGTCCATTGTGATACTGCACTTTATGTACTTACGTTTCAAAGGCTTGTAAGCTACAGTTTGCACTGTTTCAATAAATGAAACTAATTTTCTCACCACATCTTTTGATTCATTTTGTCCAGCACTTGCAAGCTGTAGACTCTCTGTCAGAGCCATATATTGTATAATTGATGCTTTCAGTTTTCAGTTGAATTAATTCAATCCAAGTCAATGGAACACTCACAAGATGTCACCAAAATCACACTGTCCCTTTAAAATCTTTCAGAAAATGATATAAGTGTATCGAATTATATCGAATCGTATCGTTGGCTGAATATCGTGATATATATCGTATCGTTATCGTGTATCGTATCGTGAGATTAGTGTATCGCTACAGCCCTACTTGTGTGTGTGTATACCTGTCTGACTCCTCGTCTTCACACGCCTCTGTCTTACACACACTCTGCAAGGAAAGTGTTGCTGTTGTTTCCTCCATATGGGTTTCTGTGTTTGATATGTCTGCGTTGCCAGGGGTTACGATTGGATGTTCTAGTTGTGGTGTCATGGTAACTTCCATTTCCTCTTCCTTCTCCACATGCACTGGCAACGTCTCTCCATTCTCCTCTGGTATTTTTTCATCCATCTGAAACATAGACATCTTTTGAATTGATGAAGGCTGGTCTCGAGGTAAAATACCTCAAAACCAAGACTGAAAGAATCTATGACCAGTAGTGTTAAGTCATTAAGTAGGCCTACATTTACTCAAGTACTGTACTTCCATGTTATGTTACTCTGTACTTCTATTCCACTACAATTCAGAAGTAAATATTGTAATTGTACTGTAACTTTAGTTACTTTGCAAATAATGATAAACAATATGATTAACTCTTAAATCAGACTTTGGTTCCACCTGGAGTAAATCCACCAGCTCCCCTGCAGTATACAAAGTCATTCAAACTAGCTGCACCTTCACCAGCTTTGAGAACACTTTCATGATCAATCATTATAAAACATATCATATATATTATTCTGAAATGGACCAATCTGCACAATGACTACTTTTACTGTCGCTACTTTCACTATATTTTGATGAGAATACTTTTCTACTTTCACTTGAGGAACATTTTGAATGCAGGACTTTTACTGTAACAGAGTATTCCTACATTCTGGTACTTCTACACAAGTACAAGATCCGAGTACTTCCTCTGTCTACAGACAGTTATTATTTAGGTAAAGGAACTTACCTTCTTCAACACTGCCAGAGGCACTAGTGCGTGAGTTAATCTCAAACTTAAACTACTTTATCACACATTAAGTTAACACACTATATATCGCTACGGTTATATAAAAGTAAACAGCTTTTATTGCAAAACTAACGCATGACAGCTTTAAAATAAGTTAAAATATGAACTTAAAACAAGTTGTCATTAAGAATGAAATGATAGTACGGACATACTAAAACACAAATGTTTAGCTTATTTACCTCCACGCTTTAGTCAGTTAGCTAACGAGCTAACAAGGGCTACATGCGTTGAATGTCAGCGAAGAAGTGGGCTCAACCCGCAAAGCCGCAAGCAGGTCTTATTCCAAAGAGACTCCTTTTCAGCGACATGCAACAATGAACAAAGTAACAACGACTTGGTTAAAAGTAATATATGTTGTTGCTGCTGCTGCTGGTCCTGTACTGCGAAGTACCACATGTGGCTCCTACCAGTGTGAAGTCCCCTAAGATGAACCGATACACTTCCGTTTCAACCTTCAAAATATTAGCCTTTAGAGTCCAGACAGTAACAATATTAGTTTGTGATGTTATTAAATTGAATAAATCACATAACTGCAAATTCACAACTACGGTTTTTATATAATTCATAAATATCTTTTGAAACCATTCTGATATTTACTTTATTTTGTTATGACTGTAAATCACGAAAAGCGTTGTTCGTACATTTTATTCTGAAGCCAACATTCTTGACTTCCGGTGCTAAATGTTGCTCTCTGTGATCTTCTTATTATACATCCATGGTGATCTTGCCACGGGAACCTTCTCCATCCACAACACGTGGGTTGTGTTTTTCTGGGTGTGCGCACGGTTGGAGAAGGTACCAGCTGCAGCCGCAGCCGGTGGAGGTTGGCCAGCCTCACGTCTCAGCACCAGCGTGACTGGGACGATCATCTGCCCCTGGTGCTCATGGCATAGCCTATCGCTCTGCAGTACAGGAGTCCTCGGCCTGTTCTCCTCATGTTAGGGAGAGAGCTTCGCACCCCTGCCGTTTTGGCGTTTGGTCAGATACTAACCCGTTATCCTAACTTTTTTTTTTTGTTGAGAAAGTTACCGGTGCGCCAAGGAAGAAGTGGAGCGCACAGGAGACAACCATTTCATTGCAGACTGTTATGTTTACGTGGGGAAATGACAGTGCATACATTATTTGAGATATATTTCGTACTCAGACTTCACTTTAACCCTCTGGAGTCTAAGGGTATTTTCTCGATTTTTAGATGTTTTCTTAAATCACTTTTTAAATGTATTTCTTCTAACATGGCACCCCATGTGTTACATATCAAAATGTTCAGGACAATCTCTGGTATTGCTATATATGCAAATTACTCACCTTAGAGCACTGTTTGATGAGATAAGTAGCTCAAAAGCTTAAAATTTGACATCCGATTTTCGGAAAATCTTCAAAACTCTTGTGAAAACACAAATTTACTCATGTGATCGAATTGTTTTGGTGTTTTAGATTTGGTTACCAAAGTCTTAGGATCACAAAAGCAGTGAAATATTTGAATTACACTGTATATAAATGTGTTATTCATGTCTAAAATGAAAAAAATTCAATTCGAGTTTTGAGTAAAACCAGGGTCGGCGTCATGGGGGGTCATTCGCGGGCCATGCCCCCCCAAATGAGTCACTGTGCCCCCCCAACGCAGGGTGGGCAAGCCTTATTGCCACTTTGCCGTTTTTTTTTTTTTTAATCATATAAGTTAAAACGTTTCCACCAAAAGTTTTTTGTGTGAAATACATCAGAAATAAAGAATACACATTTGTATTCTTTATTTATTCTTTATATGAAACACAGCCTGAGGTGTGCTCACTGCTGCTCTCTGATTGGTGTGTTGCTTGACCAATGACCCCGACTTTTGTTTTGTTATCATTACGTGGCTGTGTGTTTAGATGAAAGCCCAGTGGCGATCTGTCCATCTGTTATACTGATTATACAGTAAAGCCATCGAAAATAATATGATATACAGTACAGTACAAGTACATGGGTCTCTGTGTTTCATTCAAGCTCGGCTCTCTGTGTGTGGCACGAGCGCATTTTGTCAGTGCGCGAGCGGTAACGTGGAATATTGTTGTTAGCATCTGGTTAGCTAGCTATGCTAACGGATATAAAGAGCTGTTTCTACACCAAGGTGGAGGAGAGTCCTCTCCTGTCAGACTGAGAGGATCTTATAACGTCAGCTCAGTGAGGTAAGGACTCTCAGTGTTTAGATAGTTCACTTTAGTGTAAGTTATCTCAGTGGGTCTCAAACGGTTTGGTGACCATTTATGTAAACAAGTATTTGCGAGGAATAGGCTACCTTTATATGATCATTATAGTCATTAAAGAATAAGAGAATAAATGAAAAACGGGTATGACCTACTATAGGACAATAACGAATACCATTTAAAAGGGGAGTGATTAGTAAAATATCCATAAAGAAAAAGTAAATCTGTGTACAGTTCTGTTTCATATGGATGTTGAGAGATGTATCCATAGATCTCTTCATTTTGCTCTCAAAGTGCACCAGATTGATGCTTTTAACTTCAATATTTTAAAAATAATCTTCCCGGGGGAGCATGCCCCCGGACCCTCCTAGAGGAGGTTAGGTGCACACCCACCTAAAACATGTTCACATGGATAGGATACTAAATACATTTGCACACTTTTCATATGGTGGCCTATGTCCATATGTTTCTGTTTTGGTGGTCGTGCCACAACCTTGCATGTATGCACAAGTCATGGTGCGCTATAAAATAGCACTACACCCTGCAATGTGTGTGAAAGACAATACACTTTACAGCATGTTTTTTTTAATTGAAGTTGCGTTGGTGTTTGTGTGTTGGTTGTTGACGGCAGTATGTGCCCCCCCTTGGTAAATGATTGCCCCCCCATTTGATTTGTTCTAGAGCCGACCCTGAGTAAAACAGATGTTTATCACTCTACTTTCACCACAGCAGGGACTGAGATACATTAGGACTGAATAATGACTTCATATTACATACCAAGGTTCATGTGATGTGTACAAATACAAGTTGAGCATTCAACCTTTTTTTTCAACCAACAATTTATTATAAATATGTTTTTTTCAACCAACTATTTATATAAATATAAGAAACTGGAAAATATAACTATTTACAATATTGAACATCAGAACTTTCAACCAACTATTCATTATAAATGTCAAGACAGTGTCAAGGTCTTTGTCTGTCTTCCAAGACTGGCTGCTGTGAAGATGGGGGTGATGGTGCATGGGCTGCTGTGTAGGTGGGGGGTACAAGTGCTATACGAGACCTCCACGAGACATTGCTGGCTGGGTTGAAGGTGATGGCTGTGGTGGAGCCTTTGTGCTGAGGTGTATCTTGACCTGGTGGCAGCCGCAGATGGAGGTGGAGGCAGCTGTAGTGATGCTGGTCTGCTGGTCCTTGGTGGTGATGGCTCTGGTGAAGGCCCTTGAGCCACAGTAGATCTTGACCTGGGGGCCGGCACAGATGGATGTTCTGGCTGCTGGATAAACGAGATGGGTCTGGATGCAGACCGCAGCAAGGAGGCGGATCCTAAAGGGGGCGGATCCTATAGGGGGCGTTTCCTAAAGGGTTATGAACCCGCCCCCCATGCATTCTAGGGATGTGAATGACTCAGCTTTACTGTGCCTTTTCTTTTTTTTCTGCATTAACTGCTGCCATCGTGTGTTCAGAAATTGTGTAGAAGCCTTAATGTTTCAAATTCAAAGCCCTATTTCAAAGCTCTATACCAAAAATGAGAGGCTTTATTTAAACTAAACACGTGTTTACTTGAGAGTTCCTAGTCACGTCTGTTCTGTCTGTTAATAATAATAATGTATTTGTTGTTGAGAGGGTAATGGCGTAGCTCGTTTTAAAGGTGACATGTCATGCTTTTCCGGTTAGTACCCGTCCCCTTGTGTGTTATGAAGGTTTTTATGCATAAATGGTGTGCAGAGTCAAAACCCTCAAAGTACACCATGCGAGTAAACTCTAACACAGAAAATACCTCCCCAAAACGCCTCGTTGGAGATACGTCACTGTCCATTTGATTCTTCCGGGTACATCATGATGTCATGTCGTCCCCGGAACGAAATGGACCAATCCGTGGAGCCGTTACGTTACGTCCGCGGAGCCGTTATGTTAAGCCCCCGCTGATTGGTCCGAATTGACCAATCCACGGACTTCCTCACACACTCAGTGCAGGCAGCTCAGCTGATTTCTCCTCCCTGGCTGCAGGCTGATAGACAGTTGGGATCGCGGCGAAATTCTCTCTGCAGACCCATTCTCTCTGCAGACCCATTCTCACAGCGTTTATCAACCTTTTTCTTACTCAATATCAAGCCACACTTATTGTTTTTACTTCGGCTGTGACTTTGTGTGTGCTCAGGATGAGTTTCGCTGTGTATCGCTAAACAAGGAAATCACACCTCCACGGAGTTCAGCGCGATTCACAACGTCCCGACTGGTCCCGACCAATCGGAGCACACTGGGCTCACAGGGAGGGGGGGGGGGGCAAGAGCTGCAACGAGCAGTTTAGTGGAGAGAGTGAATACTGCTGAATACACGTACTTTACAGAGATGCTGTATGCGAAACCAATGTGAGTTTGGAAAATTGCACAGTATAAATATATTCTAGTAGACCTCAACAATGGAATTATGATCAGTGGAAATGGCCATGACATGGGACCTTTAATCATACTTATGTTTGAGTCCTGCATCCTCCACAAATGCACAGTGCTGCATATGTTTTCCTATAAACAGACCAATGCTTAAGTTATAGAACGCTGCGGGGAAAAGGAGTTACGCCTTCCTAACCAGCTCTCTCCTTCCGCTGTCATCGGACACAATGGGCTGATGTCTTTATACTTGAGTAATTTGTGCATACAAATATTGTCTTTCTAGGCTTTACATGTTATACAAAATACACTTTTATACTTCTCTCATATATTTGTCCTTTTTTCAACAGTGCTAACTGCTCTTTGTACAGCCCAGGATGCTGATGAAAATCGTATGGTCTGATTCTATTACACTGTTGAAAATTAAATAACCTTGTATTTTAATGTTTCAGATAGCAATGATTTTTAATAGCAATCGTTGATGTAAGATTCAGAAAACTGTCTTGCCTGCCACATTTTGAAGGGACACACCATCCGCCTAGACAAGTACACAAAACAGATACAGGTCAAGCTGTTCACTTAAACATTTGTACCGGGCAGATATGTAACTGTGCTAAAGGACAGACTATTACTACTTTAACACAGAATAACAGACAACAGGAGTCAAAGAATAGGCAAACATTTTGCACTGTCATACACCGGAGCGTATACAGTCAGCCCTATGTTCCCTCAAAACTATCTTTACCCCTAGCCCCAAGCCTAACCCTAATTAACCGCATAAGGGACACTGATCTGTGTCTCTTGTTTTAACACATTGGAGGCCAGTCTAAGTGAGTGATTGTAATATGTG